GCTGTATAAACCTTGACTTCCGACTTCTGACCTCTACCACTGTGAGACAGGAAAGTTGTCATTTTAAGCCTCCAAGTTTATACTACTTTCTCATGGCAGTCCTAAGAAACTAATACAATATGCTCAGTAAAAAAATATTTTTATTCATTTGCAATACCTCCAATGTTTGGATGGAAGATTAGGGGAGGGGTATTTTTAAAAATTTTTTCTCCAAACTTTTAAACACATTGTTTAATGGTTTTGAGTACTTTATTGCTGTATATAGTTTTGCTATGTTGGATCCATGTGGATTAATTTTACTTTGTTCTATTCTGTCGAATTTTCTGTTTAATTGAATGTTTATGTCTTCCAATGAGTCTGTGGAATTGCTTCTAGAAATTTCATCTGATATTAGACCTTCTCTTTCAAGTCTTCTCAAATCGCTTTACTTTTTCCAGCTCTTTTTTGGTTGCTGTAGTTTAGGAAACTGTCTCCAGTCTAGCTTTCAGATCATAAGTTCTCTGCTCAAAAAGTCTAATCTGCTTTGTAATACAGCTTTTGAATTTTTCAACTACTATATTTTTTCCACATATGAACTCTACTGCAGATACCAAAGGTAAAATACAGTTTTAAAACAGCTTAGAGAAAGATATACTTCATGTTATGTATTTAAGACAGATTTTTATCTCCAATAGTCAGGATTTTTTTTATTTGTTTGTTTGCATACACTTTGAGTATTCTAAATTTATGCACAAGATTCTCTTGAGTATTCCTGCTCTAAGGGGCTCAAGGGCTCATCTCCTGAGTGGATGTTAAAATCTAAATCTTTAGATCAACAAAATTGATAATATTGGTCCTCTCCCAGGCAGCCTAAGCCACAGTTCACACTTTTCTCTGTGGTTTTCATTTTGCTCTTCATTCCTAGTATCCAAGAGAGCTCTTCATTCTTGAGTGTTTATACATATAAAATCTTTTATGTTCGAAGTTTACCTGGAATTCCTGGGTATTTATTCAACAAAAAATGAAAATAAAATAATATCTTTGAACCCTTGATTCAGGCAGAAAGCTGGACTTCATTCATTTGAATATTTAGCTTATGTCACCAGGCTACTGGAACCCAAATTCAAAGGGTGTGGCTTTGCTTGTGTGTCCTCTCCTACCCTTGTCACAATAAGGGTTTTGCTTGCTAATAAGTCTTAAAAACAAAAACAAGGCAGTATTTTCCACTGGAAATGTTTGCGGGATAAACGTAAAAACACAAGTGGGTTTCAAATGTCCATATCAAGTAATTATGCAAAAGCTTCTAAGCAAAATACTCAAAATTAATTAGCCTGAGTTTATTGTCTCTAAGTAAGTTTGATTTACCACGATTCTCGCAGTGACTGAAATAACAGCCAGTTGGTAGGACCTCCCGCTGCGTGAGGGGAATGAGACTTGGTTAACTTGTCACTGTGACCACCTCACCTCGTAACACAGAAAGATCCATAGTAAGGCGGGATCGTGTGAGACAAGAAGCAATGAAAGTGTCTGGACATAGTACCATGTGTGCTGTAGTGACCCATCTTTGGACCCATCTATCTGCTGTCCCCTTTAGGCAGTTTCTCGAATACCTATAAGCAGCCTAAACCAAGCTTTAAAGGAGTTGCCTCCTGGCCCATCCTCCTCCTCGGGTCCACCAGCAACAGGAGGGTACAGAGGTGAAAAGTTAGACATCCGCTCCTCATCCTCGGACTCCCCTCTGATTAACACTTGTCCTTTCATTCAAGTACTGCTTCCTTGATTCTTCAGTTTGGCACAGAAACATGACCATCGTCTCTCTCCGGCTGCATTGGTATGATTCTTTCACTGTTCAACAACCTCACAGAAGATGATTTCTCCCACTAGTGCAGTAAGAATAGAGATGGGTCCGTTTTTGACTTGTATTTTAAATTCAGGGAAACAGCTCTCTTAAGTTTCCGGGCACTGACTATATTCGTGAGTGTCCTTTTATGATTATGAAATTATGCTGCTTGAAAACTTGCTGCTTTCACTGTCAGTCTCCCGCCAGCAGAGTGACTGGCAGGTGGAATTGTGTGGTTAGCAGAAAATCCTGCTCTGATCGGGGAGAGCCCCGCGGAATGAACAAGACTAAACGACAGCATTTCTGTTCTGAAAGCAAAAAACCTCCAATGACTTCTCCGTGCTGTCAAATCCTGGATGTTTTGCTGCTTTTCTTGTTTTTATTTTTGTCCTGAATTCTGTGCTTTTCTTACATGCGCTGAATGTGAAATAGCCTTGTGCACTTCTTTGGGGATCTCAGACTTCTGCTAGGTGATACCAAGGGATGGCTGTAACTCAGTGACATTTTGTCAGGCTGTTAAAGAGTAAACTTTCCTTGACAGTGGCAGGAGGTAATTATTTTTTGTTTCTTGTTAGTGTTGCTTCTGACACATGTGAAGAAAATTTGGAATTGCTATTTTAACTATTTCAAGATACTTTTTGTTCTGTTTGGCAGGAAGAGAACATGCATTTCTTGCTGGGGGAACTGCCAGATTTCCTGGTCCCTACAGAAGATGCGGATTCTAACACAGGGAATGTTTCTTGCAAGCCCCTAGCTGTCCCGCCCCTACTCTCTGAAGACATCCTTCATCCTCTTATCCCTCCTGACATTTTACCTATAGCATATCCTGTTTTATACAGCTTCCCAAAACTGTAATTAATGCATAAAGAGGAAAGGATTCTTTTGGCTCATTGTTTTTGGAGGGTTACCTACTTTGGAGATGAATATGGCTTTGGTCCTCTGATAGTCAGCAAAGCATGGTAGAACAACAGAGCAAAATCACTCATTTCATGCAACAGGAAGCAAAGAGGAAAAGAATAGGGTCTCAGCATTCACTCAAGAGCACACCCCAGGGACCTCAAAACCTCCTATTTGCCCCACTTCCTAAACGTTCTATTACTTTCCCAGAGTGCCACCCTGGTATGAAACCTTGAATACATGGATCTTTACGACACACTTATCTAAACCCTAATGTTCTGTGACAGTCATTCCATACCTCTCAGGGGACATTCACTATAAAGCAAACATATCCGTAGATGTGATTCCTGAACTCAGAACTCAGTGGAATCCTAGGAGATCGGTACCTAAACAAGCAATAAAAACACTTTATATAGCTTTCTGATGTAAAAATTTATTTATGCAGATGGCTCTAAAAAGTAAACTCTTCAAATGATAATATTTTGTAGCCTGACTCTATAATTTAAAAATTTGGGTGCTTGAGCAAAACATATCAAAAGAATATACCTATTTATTAGGTTCTGATGAATCCTTTTGGAATTGTATTAAATAGATTCTTAGATACCACTACATTTCTGCAATTTCTTCTCAGTGAATAAAAGCCAAGAATTCCATTTTCAAGGGTTGAACTACACCTGATACTGCTTGGTAACTGCCTTGAATTCTGCTTCTGGCAGTTAATGGCTTTCCCAGGGGAAAGTTATCTCCATAACCAACCTAGACTAACACCACACACCCATACCCCATGCTTCTTAACAAGGCCTTTGGGATCACTTATTGGAGAAAAACGTTAACCTACATTGTTCTCAACCAAAGGCTAATTTGAAAGCTATCTGAAATATAAGCATTTTTCATAGTAATTAAAAGTTCAGTGGGTAAAAATGTATGGGCTTCATTATCACAGAGACATCATAACTATAATAATAATAATAAAAGAATTTTAATTCTTACTATATGCTAGCGTAGTGTATTTCTACATGTATTGGCTAGGTCATTGCTCATGTGACTCTGATAGGCGAGCATCATTACACCTCACAAATGAGCCTTGTTCCTTGGTGAACACGGTGGGTTCAGAGTCCCCTTTTCCTGGACTCTTCTTGGAAATCTTAAGTGTTTGTTTCAGAGACTTCTGGTCTCCCCACCATCTTGATACTCAATTCTCCAAACCATGTCTGAGACTGGTAATGCATATGGCTTAGGGCTGCAGTGTGACATTGACTAAAAATCTATTTAGCATGCAGCTCTCCAAAACAGGCTTATTTGGTTTTTGTTTATTTTTTGTAGGTTTTCTCCCCTTTTAATCTGTACCAACTCGTAAATGAAGAATGGTCCTGCAGGGTTCTCTACTGTTTAGTCAATGGTCCAGTCAGCCCCTGATAATGTAGCCTTTAACATAAAATGTAATAGGAAATGGGAAAATAAAACACATATCTACTTCCAGGAAAGTTTTCTTTTTGAAAACAGGAGGCTAAACAACACCACACGATGCTTACAATGATTCCTATAAGTCTGTAAACGCTTTGAGTTACCAGCATACAGGTAATTACACATTTGTGAACAGTCCGTACCCCGCCACTCCCCATGTGAGGTGAGGGAGTGGTGTCCCCTGGAGGACACCATCATCCAGCACAGACACCCCAGAGTGGGCTGAGCTTCCTCTCTCTCCTCCCACAGGCACCTGCTGCTCCCTGCACCCTGCTGCCTTCCCTGCTTGCAGGATCACCCTAGTCTTGCCCACCACCTGCTCGCTCACCGCCGTCTCCTCCAGAACTCCCGTGTATTCTTCCCCTATCTCCCCTATGTCCATCACAGAGTCTCTCTACCTTTGCTTCCTACCTAGATCCTAGCTCTCTCCTAAAATCCGTGGGCTTGGCTATCTGCACACAAACACAGGCACTACATAGCAATGCAATAATCAGCAAGCTGTCCACTTACAAATCCTAGAAAGGGGAAGAATGAGATCATGAATCCACGTGTTCTTGATAAGCAAGATAAAGTCCCTTTTATTGTGGGATTCAATGTGTCCACCATGGTGCATGAGAACTCTTGAGATGCAATGGACACTTACTGGAGATTTGCTGAATGAGTAAATGTGTAAATTAATCAATGCACGAAGGAATAAGATTCTTTATTACACAAAGTTTGTTGCCCAAGGCTACATGGATAGAGAAGAAAAATGGGTAGATAGGGAAAACAGGAAGCTAATAAAATGCCAGGGAAACCTATACACAGAAGGTCATCTTACCATGCTAAGGCTCTCGTGGAAACACAGAATCATGCTGTAGAAGTTACCATCGTGCCTAACGGGCTGTGTTCTGATCCTCAGCTGCTCTGTTTGCCAGCACTGCAAGTCACAGCCCCCCAGTCGGCTGAGCAGAGACACCTTGAGGAGATAAGAGCCTCGAGGAGCTTTATCCTTGAGACCTCTAATGCATGTGATCTGTATTTGAAGCAGCTGAGGCGACTGAGACTGCTCAACCTGCAAAAAAGGTAGAATTCTTGAATTACACAGGAACTGGGTAAAACCACACAATTAGCAACAACGGGCTTCTGGGAAGGGGAGTAGACAATTACTTTACTCAACCTATAATTGTCAGGTATTAGCAATGATAACAGACAAGGACACATGCTGTATAATTAAGAGGTCAAAAGGCAAACCTGCTGATGATAGGAGGCAAAGTTTAGCCAACCTTTAAACATGGTATGTTAATGATCTGTGACATCAGAAACCAGTCATTTCTTATAACAAGATGGAATTAACAGGAAACCAACACTTCTAAAAGCCACACAGCGTGCCCTCTCCAATATCAGGGATGGGTGCAACTGGGCAGTAAGCTCCAATCTGGGAATCTGAAGGGTGACAGACAGGACCTACATGGAGTCACGGATCACAGTGAAACGTTGGTCAGGGCAAAGCAAAGCAAAGCAGGCCACGCTAATACCTCGCCTGACTAGCATGAAGTCAGCCTGCCCCACAGGCTTCCAAGGAGAGTCCAAAATAAGGGGGAGGTGGCATATGGATGTGTTTTACCCCTAAATTTACCACCAATTGTACGTAACCGAGGTAGCTGCCTTAATAGGCCACAGTATGCTTGAATGTTGTTGCTCACCCTTAGCTGACAGTAAAGGACCACTTACATGTTTAGTGAGTGTCTAAACATTTATATAGGTTGATGATTTTTAAACAACTACTGTTTCTGGTTAAATAGAGACTAAGCCAGGATTAGGAACATCTTAAATGTCAGTTCAGTCATGTATGTTTCTATCTCCCGTAGTCCCTCATAGTTTTCAATATAATTTGATGCTGGAGAATGTTCTAGTTTGCTGTGCTCTAATCAAAATCAATGTCATTTTTAGACACCAGTTACTCTCCTGGCCACTCAAGTTAGTAGTATCTCCAGTTACAGTGCAGCAAGCAGTAAGGATTTGGTAATCCTGCCTAGACTTTATTTGAAGAGGTGGATATATATTTCCATATAGATAATATGCCTCTAGAATTAAATCACAGTTAAATAAACAGTAAAAGTTGTTCAACTTCTTTTGTTTTTTTTTTCATGCAAGTCATACTTAAAAACTAATTGAAATAACAATTATTTTTGGCTTAATTAGAAAGTCTTAATTAACAACAAAGACTTAACCTTCATATTTTGGTTTCCAAAAATATTTTAAAAATTAATGCCATGTGAATAAATAAAACAATCTTTTTTAAACCTCAAGGCAGGATTACTGATGCAGGCAGACGAGTTATTAAACACATTCTAAATTAAACGCCTCTATGAATTTTATACTGAAATATATTGTGATAGTTTTGCATGCCAAATGTGACATTTTGTGTTTTAGATTCATCTTCCGTAGTAATTTTGGAAATGTCATACAAACAAAGATTTTGTCATTTACCAATGGAATTACTATGCATGGCCGCCTAGCCATCTCTTTGCTGGCTCTTGCGGTTGTTTCAAGTCAGCAAGCCATAAAAAATCTTTATCTCTCTGAAACACAGCAATTTGGAAGATAATCGAATGGTGACTAGGGGGCAGAAATGCCAGGCTGAGGAATTATACCACAATCTCTCTTGCATTTACAACCTTCCTCAAAGCGACTGTCAGATGAGGAGGATCAGGAGATAGAAGACCCATCAAATCTCAAGCCTCCTCTCATTTGCATGGCGGCAGGCCTGCCTGGCCTGCCCAGTACAGCAAGGATGGAGCCTGGCCTATCAGCAGCCCCGCTCTGAGGAATTCCAAGGGCTTTGCCCGGGAGAGCTTCCGGCCATCCGATTCTAGCACAGAATTCTCATCAGAAAATATTTATTAGGCCTGCTAAAACTCTGTCCTCTGGAGAGATCTACAGGCAGAAAAGCACAACAGGCACATGGATCGATACCATCGATCTCATCATTTCACAGTTTGCACCAGGAAAGAAGTCAGTCCCCAGAGCCTCACCTCCCAGCAAGAGCCCGCTGCTCCCATGCAACTGTGAGTTACTTCCGTGAGGGAGCCGAGCTTGGTGACACTGTGTTTTTCACCAACAGGTAAGTCTGCAGCCGATGGCTGACTTGGAGCCCTGTTCCAGTATGAGAAGGAGAAAAGAGAAAAAGAGAAATTGACAACAGAGTATAAAGCAAATATTTGCCTTTAGAAGCACAATACAATATGATGCTTTCCTTACACATTGTGTCACATTAACCAGGAATTAGAGAAACACCACATTACAGGTGTTGCCGTGGATTAAAGTCAGAGAGGAAGTGGCCTTTGAAGTTTGGCCCCATAAAAATATAAGATTCACTATACTGTATTAGCTACTGATCTCCCAATAATTAAAATGTCACTTGTTGAGGAATTACCAGGAGATCAAATACAAGCATCCCTCCATATCTGTGAGGGATTTGTTCCAGGACCCCCCGTGAATACTGAAATCCACAGATGTCCCAAGTCCCTTGTAGGAGACGGCATAATGTTTGTGTACCTGCACATCCTCCTGTATACTCTGCTGTGGAGCCCTAGATTATTCATAATGCATAATATAACATTAATGCTATGCAAATAGTTATTATAGTGTATTGTTTAGGGGATAATGGCAAGAATACCGACTGTGCATGTTCAGATGCACCCATGCCTAAATGTTTTAAACGATTGGCTGAATCCATGGAGACAGAATCCATAGATACAGTGGACGAACTATATTTCGTCAGGCTTTTTGCCAATTCATTTGTATCCCCTCTTCCTCTCTTTCTTATAAACTATTAGAGAAACTTTGAGAAAAACTTCATCTAAATTCATGAAGAGCTGATATGACATAAATGTTTTTTAATGCAATGGCCAGAGAGCAAGATCTATTTCCACCCTCAAAGTGCTCTCCAGGCCTTTTGCTTACTATTAACATTTATGTCCTTTATTGGGGGTTCTTCTTTATCGTTGGCTTGGTTTTTTTCTGTTTTTTCTTCTTCTTGAATCTTGACAGCTTTTGCCTGCTTTTCCAAATTAATTTGAATTAAGAAGGATCGTGTATCTCCCTTCTCCTGACTCAAGCTTAATTCCATCAGCAGGGCCATCTGTGACAATGACTGTACCCTACCAGAGGAATAGCCTTTTGTGGCCTCACTGCTGATTTGGTTTCCTATGACATAAATGATTTCCTTTAATTTGGTTAGAGCTCCATTGACACAAGGGTTCATTAGGACACCCATTTGCCAGCAATTCAATTTCAAATTAAATACACTTTGTTGTAAATTTTATTACTTTTAAACTACTGTATCTATTGTCTTTAATGGACCTATTATACAGTTATGAAGGTAAATAGATTTCATTAGTAAACAGCAAACATTTTCTGTTTACTACAGTGACAGAATTTCCTCAGTTTCTGTCTTTGATCCCTTGGCAAGAACTGCAAGGCATTTGGAAGTATTCTAAAAACTGACTCTAGATAATTAGATACTTAACTCACAATTACAATCTGAAAAAAGATGATGAAGAAGGCAGGGTCCCTGCTTATAATCCCACTTTTTATAAGTAAAGACTTTCTAAAGCTAAATGGTGAAGACACAGCTTTAATGTAGTAGCAAATCCCTAGAGATCATCACGTGATCTTCAGTTCCTTAAAGCAATGACATTCTAGGTCAGGAGCCACAAGCAGACAACAGGTCACATGTGCATCGGTTCCTGAGCCCCATTATCATTCCTGTTCTCCCAGGTCTTGAATATGCATCAACCTTATGGTTATGTAACTAGGACTGCCCCCTGAGTGTCCACCGCGAGCTGGTTCCTGGGAGCCTACATTGAATACCAAAGTCCAGGGGTGCTCAAGTCCCTTTAATAAAATCACATAGTCTTTGTATATAACCATAACTTTAAATCATTTCCAGATGATTTGTAAATCATAGTACATGGTAAATTCTTCATGAATAGTTCAATGGTAATTTTTAGACAATGATGACAAGAAACAGAGGCTGTACATGTTCGGTACAGCACAAAGCTGTGGGATGCAGGAGAGTGATATTTTGTATCTAAGGTTAGTTGAATCCATAAGTGTGAAAACCATGGATGCCAAGGTCTTGATAAATGTTTGTGCACTGAAAAAATGTCCTCATTAGCCCACACACTGCGTGTATTCACTGGTGAAATACTGACTTCTGTTTTTCATAGCCAGGTAACTGGACATTATTCCACACAAATGATACTGCTGCTGTACATATTATTTTGTAATCTTTGCTTTCCATGTAGTATATTATAGTTCTTTTTTTTTCTTATTACAGCATAATTTTTAGGTATCACCTAGTGTTTGGAGCCCAGAGTCTATCATAATTTATTTAAATGATCCCTTATTCCTGGATATTTAGACTAGTCCCTATTTTCACTACTGTAAGTTCCTATGTAATTAACTCTTTCATATATAAAGTCTTGCAAACCTCCCTGGCCATTTTCTTAGTATAAAATCCTATCACAGGAAGTGCATGGTATTCTGCACCTCTCCAGTCCCCACACTGGGCACTGAAGTGGCGCTGTAGTGATACCGAATCCCATACGCACAGCCTAGCCTCTCCCACACCAACCAGACCTCACAAGGAGGCAGGTCTCACTCTGGCTCTCATCCGATTGGCTTCTAGAAGACAGAAGTTAAGGAAAGCAGCAGTGAACAAGCTCATGGAGAAACAGCACTCAGTCTCAGCACCACTGAAGTTCAAACAGATACCTCTTCCTTGTGTAGGCTGCTCTGCTCCGTAACGGACGTTTAGCAAACTCCATGGCTCTACCCACTAAATACACAATCACTCCCACCAACCCGGCCCCAGCTGTGATGGCAAAATCCTCTCTCCACATCACTAAACTTCCGGAGCGCCAAGTCGATGGCCCTGGAGGACCATTGCTCTACAGCACTAAGTAGCACAGCCTGAGCGTTTAGCATATTCGAGGCACTTTCTCAACTAATATCTATTCAGCCTTTACAATAATCTGATAAGCTGTTATTATTACTATTATTACTCCTGCTTAATGGATGCAAAACTGATGCTGAGAAGTGTTTGCTGTGCTATTCAAGGTCACACAGTGTGATTAACAGTGACACCACCCAATTTGAAAACTGTCTAGGGGAATTACTGCCACATCCACAGGTTGGAAGGTCACCCACCAGCCCCAGGATTTTGATATTGTTCAAGAGATAAATAAAACATGGCTCCCAGATACACCAGCATGCCTAGATTGCCCGATCCCCTAACATCATACAGATAAAAGGGCACAGATGTAACCCACGAGGAAATGGGGTCAACATTCCCAAAAGTCTAAGAGTGGATTAAACCAAGGGTATTTATCACCTGTAACTGACCCACATTTAACCCACAGCAAAACACCCAGAGGTCAAACAGAATGCATCAAACCTAACGAAGGAACGTACTTCAGAAGTGTTTTGTCCATCTTTAAACGTGACATAGGCAGGTACTGGTTAAATCTTTCTTCTTCAGATTTCACATCCTACATTTAAAAAGAGACAGTAAAAGAGAAAATAAAAATATAGTTGACTCAAAACACTCTCCAAACACCAGTGTAAAGTTTGTTTTTGCTATGACCAGGGTATGCTGACTCTCAAAAGGTGAAGTTCCCAGAGACAAGACGGTGGGAGCTGTGCCTTTGGCAACCACCTTGTTAGGATCCCTGACTTCTCTGGGTTACTTTCAGACCAGGAATGTAGCAAAAGGAACGAGTTGGGTCCCGTAGCAAAAGGAACCATTAGTGGAAATGCTTTCACACACAGTACAGTGGAATGGTTTTAGAACACGGAAAGTGACTTAACGGAGGTATAGAAAGTATGGTGGATTAACTAGTGGGCAGCTTGGAACACCCAGCTGAACTGACTCAGTGAGGTGCTGGGTGTGGAAGGCCCACCCGAGGACTATTTGAAAAGAGAGCTGGAGGGGAAGGTGGTGCACTGTTGATTCTCCTGGAGAAGCTTGTCACGCTGGTTTTCATGAAACCAACTCAGTGTTATCATCAGAAAAACTCAGGTCCTCGCTGTCGCTCAGGATGACTGTGGTTCTCTTTGGGGAAGCTCTGGTCCTTACCTTGAGCATTTCTTTCCAGACCAGGGCAGATCCCTCAGCCTGCTGGCACAGATCTCTCATCTCTGCTGGCGCAGACTTTCCAACTTCTGCCACTGACCTGTGGGCCTTCCAAGAGCAGATCCTTAATGCAGACTTGCATGAGGCATTGTTGTGGGTTCTAAGCCTCCAGCTGGACTCATTGAGGACATTGCTATGGGATCCAGGCCCGCAGCAGGATTCCTTGGATCTCACAGACAGATTTCTTCTGCATTTGAGTACTCTCTTCTGCATTTGAGTCTTTGAGTGAATATTATAAAATGATCCTATAAATTATGTGTCCTCTATTAAATCTTTTCCCTTCTAAACCCTGCCTACAACAGGAAGCTAGAGAAATTAACAATAATTTTAGTCATAATTTATTATTCAATCCAGAGTACTTGGAGAGTAAAAGGGGAAATATAATTATGCAAGGACAATAAGCATAATCCAGGACTCTCCCACACAAACTAGAATATATTAAAATCCCATTATCTAAACTATGTTACAATATTCTTGCATATGTGCTGATAGGCTCTCAAATAATCAAAATCAACATATTCAGCAAAGGTGGAGAGAGACAGAAAGAAAGATTGTTGATGATGAAAGTTGAAATCCTTAACAATTCAAACAACTCAAAGAATGAGAAAAGATGCCTCAATTCCTGTTACCCAACAAATAAATACAAACAAGATGCCTTCTACCACGTGCTTTTGGTGACACACATCAACCTTCACACATGACAGGTGAGAGCGCTCATTATGAATAGCTAGAAGCTAGGTCCAGAGTAACTATGAAATCAAGACAAGCAGAGGATGGGTGTTCTCTGGTAGAGTCTCAAGATCTAGAAAGCGTTCTCCACGGCTCTCAGCCCTGGCCTGTGAACCTCAGGTTCCACGCTGAATCTTTCCTCCTTCTCATAGAGAAGTAGCCCATCCTTGCAACTAAGTAATTCTCCCAGCCTTCCCCCATCCCCAGAATTTAGGGGTCCAAAGACCTTTTCATTTGAGCCCCTCCCCACCCCAATGAAATTAACCTCAGAAATAAAACAATGGCAGGCGTAGAAAGCACAGTGGGGAGGACGCTCCAAAGGGCAACCTAGAGAATAATTTTTAGAGAGTGCGTTTTCCGCTAACATATTTCCTTTTTAAATCTGAGGAGTCTTCTGTGAATTAGATGAAAGTGAAAACCACAAATCCCTTCAAATCAAGCCCTTCTCCACCTTGGCCTTCCACTGACAGGATGGGAATGAAGCCTCTAAATGCTAGAAATCGCGTGTTGTTGGCCTGGAGAACTGTGAGCCACACCCCAAATTTCCTCACAGCGCCCTTTGTCTAGGGAACAGTATTCTGAGGCACTACTTTTCATATTTCTGAGCTCTGAACAAAAGATGTGACTGTGACACTTTCGGCGTCATGCATGAGCTATATTTTCCTGGCACAGGAAGTTGGCTCAGCAGCTATTTCTTTGTTGTAGTGTTGTTTGCCGTCTAAGAGGCTGAGAATTTTCAGTACCACCAAGTCAGGATTCTCTTTCTTTAACAGTCCTCCCGTTAGTTTCTCTCCCACCTACCTCACATTTTACAATAAGCAGCAAGAACACACCTGGCTGGGAATCGTCTTAGGTAGATTATCCAGCTCCTTAGGAATACTCCCTGGATTCCATATAACGCCAATCAACAGTGTTCCTCACTCTTTTGTCTTCCATAATAAAGATTTACCTTCCTCCATTTCCCAATGAGATTTTGTTCATTTTTTTATAAGTCCTCACTCTACTAAAAATTCTTCAGCAAAATTCAGTGCCGGTCATGAGTTGGGTCTTATTATGTTAGCACCACTTGTAGGTAGCAAAATCTGGCTAAATTAGATGGCCCTTCATTCACACAGGATATATTCTAACACTCCTTCATGGATGGCTAAAGCAAATCCTACGTGTATTACACTTTTCTTCCTATACCCACACATATATGATAAAGTTTAACTTATAAATTCAGTGCAGTAAGAAATTAATAACACTAATAGTACAACAGAATATATGAATATATTTCAATAAAAGTTACATAGATGTGTTCTGTCTTGTTTCCGGAATCTTTCTTTTGCTATTTTCAGATCCCAGATGACCATGGATACCTGGCATTACAGAAAATGAAACCGAGGATAAGGTGATATGACTGTAGTTCTCTACTACTTTCTTTCTGGTGAGCCTGATAAATGAAATTAACCTCAGAAATAAAACAATGGCAGGCGTAGAAAGCACAGTGGAGGGGACATTCCAAAGGGCAACCCAGAGAATAATTTTTAGAGAGTGAGTTTATGGCAGAGGATGCTCAGAGGGGTCAGTGGCATTTAGCACGAGACCTTAAAAATTTAGCCATGCAAACAATGGCAAGACTGATTCTTCAGGCCAGGGATTTAGCTCAGCAGCATAAGTGCCTGCATGGCAAACATGAAGCCATGAGTTCAATCCCTGGTACTAAAAAAAAATAAAAATAAAAACAAAAACATCTGATTCTTCTAAACAGTGAGAGCAGCATATGCAAAGGTCCAGAGGTAAGACATAACTTGCATACTTAAAAACTAAAAGATAAGTGTGGTCTAAAACTATTCACATTGGTAAATGGGCTAGAAACATAAACAAGAACTAGAACCTGCTGGAAATCCAGATGCTGTTAATGAATCTGCACACTCTGTGGAAATGAGGAGCCAGTAAAGGGTTAAGTAAAGGAATGACATTGTCTGCTTTGTAAAGAATGAGCAGTGAAGTTTTGGAAGTGTTAAATGAACGTTTGATTCTTCCTCTTACAGACCACATTTCTCAGCAAACTGTAACTGTGATAGATCCAGATGACTGAAGAGAGGAAATTCTACCTCGTATTTGTAAGATACAGAAGTCACAGCTAGCCGGCCAGAGGAAGGGACTGTCCACTGGACTGTGAGCAGAGGAGGACAAGTAAACAAGCGGTCAAAGACACGAGGACCACAGCTTCACCTCACCCTGATCCTTCCTCTCTAAGATGGGCATCCTGCAAGAGTTAGAGAAGGAGCATGACATAGCTTGCAGAGCAATCCCCAACCAGAGGATTGCAAGGCTTCATCAAAGCCCAGAGAAGAGGCCATGTTACATTATGCTGTTAGCATGTTGTACCGTGATACTGCCAGACTAAAGAAGGGGTGCGTGCTTGCTGTGGTTACATGTGGCGAAAAGCCCACCTTTAGTGCCTGTATCAATGAGGGTCTTGACTGAAACAGATGCATTTCCAAAATGAGATGATTCACAGTACTTTACTCCAAAGATGTTGTTACAAGCCATGGATTTCAAAGGACCAAAGAGCAGGCTGTTTCCTTGTCTGGGCTTGAAAGGACAGGAGACAGAATGGTCACCAGAAGAGAGGCTGTTCTGTGTCGTTTGCTCTGAGCACAACAGTGATCCCAGATGGAGGGAGAGAGCCAGCTCCATGCAGCCTGACCTCACAGAGCAGAGGAGCCATATGACTTCTCTGTTCCTCCCTCTCCTCCAGGCTAAGACTTCTCTTGGATGGAAAGCAAGCAGGATCCAGGAAGCACATGGACCTGATCGAGGCTTCCCCATGGTTCAGCTTCTGGTGGCAGAGACTGGATGTGGGAGAGGGATAAATTTTATACAGATGCCCACCCTCTCCCTTTGTCCCTGTGTGAGAGGGAGCTACACAGAAATGCTCACTCCCTACGGAGGGGTGAAGGGAGGCGGACGTCACTGAGGGCAGCTGCAAGGTGAGCTCCTGAGCCGAGCTGTCAGGTTTTGCCACGTGACTGGATGAGGAAGGCAGGAGAATCCCCAATGAGGCTCAAGGTTCTGGCTTCAGTCTCTGGTACCATCCACTGTGACAGAGAAGATGGGTAAGTCAGGAACAGGGTTTGGAGGTGCAAAATTTTAGGCTCCATGTTAACTCTGAGGTGTTTTTGAGACACTCAAGTGGCAGTGGTGACTTTGAGTGGCAGTAAGAGAAGAGACTGAAGCTTCTGGCTGTCACCAGAAGGAAGAAGGAATCAGGCGAGAGGAATCCGCAAAGTTACCCTGCAGAGATGTTCACCTATTTTTATGCTTTGAATCATTTCATCCTCGAATGTTTTATATCATTTAGTCCCCACAACAGCCCTGAGATGGATGCACTTTAGGATCGTGCTTACTACTTACTTACAGATGGGTAAACCGAAGCCTAAAGATCTCCAGGTATTTACCCAAGTTTGCAGTGCATGGCAAAGCCCAGAGCTCTTACTTGGCACGGCTGGTCCCTTATATAGTCACCCATTGCTTTATAGAAGTTAGATGCACAGGACCAGTGTCACATTTTTCCCTACCACTATACCACATGCATTTTCCACTACTAGCCCTAGCCAGTTTGTGAGAACAAGTTCAGAC